GCCGAATTCGCGGATTCTTGCCCCCGGCGCGCGCGCTCCCCCTGGAAACCCCAAACCCTAGCGATGATCGAGCGAATGCGGCTGGATTCCGGCGCTCGATGCCGCTGCTGCGGGAGATTTTCCAGCGATTCCTGCGGGACGTCGAGGACCACGGCGCCGGCGGCGTGGACGTTGTCCGGGGTGAGCTTGAATCGGCAGAGAGGGCAAGTGGTGTGCGCGAGCAGCCATAGATCGATGCACTCGACGTGGAAGAAATGGCCGCATCCCGGGAGGAGGCGCACGAATTCTTGCTCCTGGAATTCCCCCAAGCACACGCAGCACTCGTGATTAGGGTTCTTGGCGGTGGGCTTGGCGACGACGATGGGCAGCGCTTGAATCGACGCCTTGTCCAGCCCGAGCTGGCTCTGGATGTGGATCTGCTGCTGCTGGATCTGGAGCAGCGACGAGAGGCCGCCGGCCGAGGACGATCGCTGCGATACCCAGCGCGGGTTGTGATCGATCGTCCAGCTCGCGATTGGAATCTGGTGGCGCTCCAGGTCGGCCTCGGTGGTGACGCATTTCTTCACGTAGATGGAGAGGATTCCCATGAAGAAGAATGTGCCCAGCAGCACCACGATGATGATCGCCATGGAGGGATTGAAGCGCGCGCTCATCTCCACGCTGGATCCTCCAGGGCTGCCGGACGATCCCGCGGGGATGCTGTGGTTCATCGCCATCGCCACTGCGACGGTGGCATTGGATGCCCATCCCCGGAGAGAGGAAGAAGAAGAAGAAGAAGAAGAAGGAGGGGAAGAGTTCTCCGGGGAGGATGTAGAGGGTGTATCCATCCAAGTGCTCATCGATTCCTCTCTTCTCTCCTTTTCTTTGCTCCAAAGAGTTCTTCCTTCCTCACAGAGCTCTCCTCTCTTTCTTCCTCCCCAGTGAATCTCCCAAAGCTCTTGAAGATCTGTCTCCTGCTTCTATGGAGCTACCAAGTGAATCTACCACCAAAGTTCTTGAAGATCTTTCTCCTGGTCCTATGGAGCTACACAAAATCATGAGGAGATTGGAGTGAGGCCTAGAATGAAATCACTCCATCATTGAGAGTGTGGAGGATTGAATGGAGCATCAAGTCAATGTGAGTGTGGCCATGGAAAAGAATGGAAAATTGGTGCATGGATTCCCCACACTTTCTTCCTCTCTTCTTGTTTCTTACACCAAGAACCCTCCTCAAGACTCTCTTTTGAGCCTTGAGCTCCTCTCTTTCTATTTTAACTCTCCAAGGTTATCCCTCAAAACTAATCAAACCTGATAATTGTTAGAATTCCCAGGCCTGAAACAACAACAATTACACCCACTTTGATTCTGCTGCTCTTTCCTGAGCAAAAGCACACATCAAAACATTAAAAAACATTGACTTGATACTGATGCCTGGGTATATACCAGCTGCTGCCTTGCCTGCGTTTGACTTTATGCTGATTCTTTCGACGTGTATCACGGCCCGTATTTATACAACCCACTCTCTACCGCTCCAACCAATACGGTGCGGAGCTGACACCTCCACTATCAGCAGCTATTAATCTCTGATATGTCCAAAGCTAAAGTGCCCCTACAAAAGATTACGTATTTCTGGAAGGTAGAGCTTACAGTCCGGTCATGTATGTTAAGTTGGGAATGCATGTACAGAAAGAAGGCAGCATAATCATAATAATAATAATTATTATTATTATAAAATATTATATTTAATTGTGAACTTTAATTTTAATTTTAATTTTAAATTAATTCCTTTTTGCATTGTTTTAAAAGAGAACTAAGAGCCAGGTCAAGTATGCTCAGCAAGAAACACATAAAAATTTCTATTTTATGTTTATTTGGCTAAGTACAAATGCTAAACCTTATTTCAACATCGCAAGATCATCGAGACATTCCACTGCATTTGTTTTGTCTTGGGTGTTGAATCTGGATGGAGTATGCTGGAACTGAGAGCTCCCAAACAATTCCATGTGCTTCATTTGAGGCCAAAGTCTCCAGCGACGGGTACTAAACCATGGCAACGATTCCATGTGCTTGCTCTCTAGGCCATCTCCTTGTCCCATGTGACAGACTAGTATAAACACAAACAAGTGGACCCTCCAAAGCGAGAAAGAAGAGAGGTCGATGCAAATGTTTTCTTTGAGAGTGACAAAGTTCCCTGTGGAGGAACTTGTCAAATAAATACTTCCATAGTATATTGGTACGGTGATGCTATTAGGCTAGTTATAATATTCTCTCTTACTTATCTGTTTATCTATATGCTACTTTGATCCCATGCGTCCCAGTTGCGCGCTGCAAGAATTATTTGATAGTCTTGTGGTGGCCAATGTGAAGCATGAGACTTGTGGATGCAAGAATGCAGGCTTTGTTGAGTTTTCAATTATGCGCGTTTACCATGTACAAATTTTCATGGAAGCTCTACGCAGACATATCGAGAAGAACTTATTTGAGAGATAGTATTTATATTATTTGAGTTGTGCTTCCTATGGCAATGGTCTTCAGCGCTCTAATACTGTCTTCCTCTTTTCTCTTTTCTTTATCGCTTTGGGCTTTGGGCTCTAGATCCTTCCTGCTGCTCATGTGAAGGAAGGAGAAACCAAGTGCACGCCAAAGCGAGGCTAAAGTCACTGCTGCATGCTGCTGCTGATGCTGCTGAGAGGAAAAGAGAAAGGCGAAGAAGAAGAAGAAGAATTATATTTTCAGATCAGGCCACGCTCCTCTCAAAGTTTCTTGTGCTTGACATCGAGCTTTACTTTTGCCCATTTGTTTATTGCGGAGCTTTCGAAAAGCCCCAGGATAGCTAGGAGAAAGTCGTCCTCTCTCTGGCTCAACCATCAGGGGCATTGTTTGGAAACTCTCGAACGTTGACAATTCTGTACGGTTCACCGTGCTTTTGTTCTATACAAATGCTAGGATCAATAGCCCTTGAACGATCGAGCTGACCCACTCTCAAAGTTTCACGTCAGTGGTCTTGCTCTCCAGCTGGAGCAAAAAAACACCTTCATTGCACACTTAACATCGAGTTTCTGTAGCCAGAACTAATTATATGACTGTCGATAGAACAGCCAAGTGAAAATATCATGGCTTTTCTTGTAAGTTGTTTAACCCTGAGTTGAAGAACACGTGTTCATCGCCAGCAGCAATCCTTAATGGAAAATGCACAGAGGTTTTGAAGCTGACTGATCTCCGAGAGAATCCCGAAAGAGACCGTCGCTCCTTTGCTCAACTTGTTTGATGTGTGCGAGGGCTTTTCTTCCTCAATGGATCACCATATCGGGTTCTATATAAACTTAATGCCCTTATGCGCACCACCTTTACCACCTTTTCCCCAGTTTGTCCAAATCCCTAGCATGCAAATGCAAATGGAGCGTCTATTACCTTTCACGTGGTCGTGGGTTGCAACAAACGAAATGGATGGGATGGATAAGCTTTGGGCCCAAAACATTATATATTATAGGCACGCGTCTGAACCCAGCGGCACAAGCCACGCCATGATGGCCGCTGCATCAACATTTGGAATTCTTAATTCGCAAAAAAGGCTAAAGAAATATTTATTATTTTGTATAGCTAAAACTTGCTAGAATATGATGGTTTGTTGTGGCTGTTTTAATGGTTTTTTGTCCACTATTGGCAGCCCAGGGAAAACATTAGAATAATCACATAGAATCTCCACATATTTGCATGGCAGGTGCAAGGGGCTCGGTGGAGCGTTGTTTTGATACTGGTGGTGGGCAGCGATCCTAAAATGAGAGATGTATAACAAGCTAAAAAGATTTGGTCACATATACATATCTTTTATACATAAATCATAAAAAAAAGGTGTTTCTGTTTGTAACATTTGATATAAAGAGTTTAGAGCTTCGTATCAGACAAGGCAAAGGCGTGAATGGTCCTACCAAGCAAAACTTTATCAGAATTCCAAAAACGCCAAAAAAAAAAAAACAAAGAGGAAAAAAACAAGAGAGAAAGTTCACAATGAAAAGAATGTAGCGAAACGAGACACAAGTTGTTCCCCCTGCGCAGTTTTTGTTTGTATGTTTGTTTGCAAGCGAGCGGTGACTGATCGTGAGTGTCTCGATGGCCCAATCGTCCAGCAAGCCAGAACAATATGATGTTTCTCTGGCAGCATGATGTTCTCTCTAGCATCTATCTAGAGAACAAGGAAAACAATACAACCTTTTAGACTAAACATTGATTGTAGAAACCTCCCTTGACAAGACAAAGGGATTATCCAGCCATATTTTCTAGGGCGGGAGATCATGAACTCGCGGAGATCTGGATCCGTGCTCGCATTGTTTAGCAGCAATCAAGCGGCCTTGTCGGGGAACAAAGGCAAAAGTTTGTGTGTGGAGGAGAGATCGCACCTTGTTGGCCTGGCACATGCATATTAGATGAATGATTTTGCCAACCCAAGCTGCCGCGCTTCATGAGATCAAGGAGGGGTGTTTGTGGATTTTGTGTGGATGATTATGTATGATCTTGCTGGTTGGCCTGTGATCCCAAATGCCAAGACAAACAAGCAAAGCTGGTCTCCTTTCCATTGTTAATTATTTAGAAATAGTAAGTTATCATTACTTTTCCTTTTAGCACTTTTAAGACCAAAACAAACAAAAAAGCTGCTCACCCACGTTCCCTAGGAAGAAAATCCCATCACATTTTTATAATTTGCTCGAGAAAAGTAAAGAAAGAAAAAGAAAAGAAAAAAACAGACTGAAATTCTATATTTTTTTTTATAAAACTTTTGCTAGTGGGCTCCTGTTGCAACTGCTGTACTACATATGCCCCGTTCTGGCATACGTAAGAACTTCACAGTTTGCAGCAGCAGCAAATTGTAAGAACTCGGCCCTTTTTCGCTCTGCCAGTGCTTTATTCTATTTGGCCTCTGGAAGTACTCAGGGCCCTCGTCATCCCTCCCTCTGGAATCAATGCCAGTTACCAATCAAAGGCCCTTCTTGGAAGAAAGCATGGACTTTTAAAAGAACTGAAGAGGAAAGAGAAAGAAAATGCCTCTCTTTGATTGATTGTAAACTTACATCTCGAGTTGATTCGTACCAGTCCATCACGGAGAGCTGAACCTCCCAACTTGTTCTGCCTTTTTCTCGTTGGCTCGATTGTCCGCTAGCCCCGATCATTCGTTGAATCTGGAGAAAAAGCTGCGAGATCGTCGTCAGCAAATGGACGTTAGCGAAAAAAGAGCTGCAAACCTGTTGGTCTTTGTAAATCCTCAAGCTTGTCCTTCTTCTCTGGTGAATTCCACGCCTTGTTCTCGTATCTGAGACTGCTTAAGCCTTCTCTGCTGCTCGCTAAGCCGCTTTCTCAACTTATCAGCCTCGTCTTTCATACCGGCTGCCATGAAGATGCTCGCTAATGCAACGTAAGGCCCGGAGTCAGCAGGATCGATCTCGATAGCCTTCTCTGCCGCAAATCTCCCTCGATCGATATCTCCGTGGAGCTTGCACGCACCCAAGAGTGTCATCCAGATCACAGCCCCCGGCCGAGCTTCCATGTTCGCGATAAACTTCTCGGCCTCCTCTAGCTTCCCGGCTCGTCCTAGCAGATCCACAACGCAACCGCAGTGCTTCTCTGAAGGCTCGATCCCACATTCCTCGACCATGCACAGGAACAGCTCCCAGGCCTTGTCAACCAGTCCGGCATGGGTGCAAGCCAAGAACACGTTGATGAAAGTCACGTCGTTCGGCCTCACACCATCTATGTCCATGAGCGGGAACAAGCCGAGAGCCTCCTCAAACTTCCCGTGTTCTGTGAGTGCCGAGATCATCGAGTTGAAAGCCCCTGTTTCCTTCCGCTGGATCTTCTCAAACACCACCTTCGCTTCGTCACACCGCCCAAACTTGCTATACATGCTGAGCAGCGAATTCGCGACCACCGGAACAGCCTCGAATCCACTGGCAGTGATCTTCGCGTGAGCTCTGCGGCCTTCTTCAACGTCGCCAACGCTGCCACACGCGGCCAGCAACGTCACGTAAGTCAGCTCGTCGGCCTCCACGCTCATCGTCTTGTAGAGCTCGAGAGCCTTTTCACCCTGTCCGTGCTGCAAGTAGAGCGCCATCATCCCGTTCCACGACACCACCCTCTGTTTGTCACTCCGGAGATCGAAAACTTTCCTGGCGTGCTGGAGCTCTCCACACTTCCCATACATGTTTACCACCGCGTTGGCCACCACTGGATCCCTGTCAAGCCCCTCGCCAACGGCGTCCTTGTGGACGAGAGTCCCCTGCTTGAGATCCTTCAAGTTCGTGCAAACCTCCAGCAGCACCACGAAAGTCACGGCATCGGGAGCCATATCAAACTCCTTGCGCATTCCTTCCCGGTAGAGCGTGAGAGCCTTGTGGTTCTCACCATAGTCGGCGTAGACGGAGATCATCGTGTTCCACAGCACAACGTCGTCCTTGTAGCTCCGATCGAAAACCTTCCACGCATCGGCCAGGCTTCCACACTTTGCAAACATGTTGACGAGCGCGGCACCGACTTCTACGTGGTAGAGACAATCCATCGCTCGGACGACGCTCTTGTAGAGCCGGTGCGCGAGCAGCAAGGACCTGAGAAGCGAGCACGCGGTTATGACACTCACAATGCAAATCTCGTCGGGAAAGATACCTTCCAAGTTCATCCGCGAGAACGTCTTGAGAGCTCCAATGCCGTCTCCATTCCTGGCAAATGCGGTGATCATCGACGTCCAGCACACAGCGTCCTTGCAATCCACGCAGTGGAAGGCTTCTTCCGCCGAGAGCAAGCTTCCAGCAGCGCTAAACGCGTTGATGAGCGCGGTGGCGACGACTGGATTGGTTTCCAGCCCGAGCTCTTTGATCCGGCCATGGAGAGAATTCACGTCCACCAAGCTGGAGCACGCCTCGAGCACCGAGACAAAGGTGACGGCGCTTGGAAGAGCCGGCGCCATTCGCTTATACAGATCCAGAGCGTGATCGTCCAAGCCATTGTTTACGTATGCCCCGATCATGATGTTCCAGGAGAAGACGTTCTTGTCAGCTATGGCGTCGAAGATCTTCCTGGCTTCTTGGACAGCGCCACACTTCCCATACATCTGGATGAGGAGATTCTGGACGAATCTGTCGCGGGCGTCTCCCGATCGAGCGATCTGCTGGTGGACCGCGCGGCCGATGGCCAGATGCTCGGGAGCTGTGCATCGCTGGAGAAGATTGCCGATGAATGTCGCCCTGCTGCCGTGACGGAGCTGCGGCAGCTTGCCCAGCGCATCCTCCACATCCTCTATCGACTGCGCAGTGGATTGCGGGATGGATTGAGAGGGATTACCGTGGGAGCTGGCCGCTTTCCTGGGTCGCCTCCTCCATTTGAGACCAGCTTGAAATGACCTGAAACGCATTCTTTGATTCCTTACCCTAACTTTAAATCTCTTAAAGACAAAATATGAGAATAAATGTAAAAATAAAATTTTTTACACTTAAAATTTTATTTATATTTATTCAATAATAATATATTTCGACATGGAAGAAAATTAATAAAACTCATGTATTATTTTGTAAAAACACTCAAAAACATTTATTCACCACCACTATTTAGTGGTGGTTTTATAAGTAATATATGTTAATATTAAAATTAATTTATAATATATTTATAAATTTTAAGGTGTTTTTTACTGTTATATATGATTATTGGTAAATATTGGTAACTAATGGATATTTAATATAAATAAATACATAATAAAATATTTTAGTTTCTTAATTAAATTTATAAAAATTCAAAGTAAACAAAATATTACTACATAAAATAAAATTTTAATTTATCTAATGACAAGTATTTTTAATAATAAATATGATATAAAGCAGTAAAATCCAGTAGTAAAATCCAATCCCCTCTGGTTTTGATGCAAAGAAGAGATTAATATAATGTTTTTATTAATCAATAAATAATTCCCATGGATGAATTTTTTTAGAATCTAATTTGAAAATCAAAATTAACATATATTAACCTAATTTAATGGTTTTTTTAATTCTTTATAATTTAATACATATTTATTCAAATCATTAACAAATGAAGCAATGTAGCTACACTTAAGTTGATTGTAAATGACTTTTCTAAATATAGGTATTTTATAATTTTATAAATAGCAAAACGTTAAAATTCTAAATATAATTATTGAGTTTTATAACTTGACTCACTTAAATATTAAAAATAATTCTTTATTTTTATATAAAAGTAGCTTTTCTGAATTAGAAATAAAATGAATAGTAATAAAGAACCAATACATTAGATATAATAATTTACAAATATAATTTTTAATTTAACATAAAATAATTTTTAATCTTGGACTTTTTTAGAAATAGCAACTCCATGTAAAGTAAATCATGTGAAAAGTAATAATGGTTATGATAAACAATATAACACAAAACGCACAAATGCAAGCAACTTTATGCAATGATGCCAGCTTAAATAATGTTGGATGTAGAAACTAGTTGCGGTTTGTGTATTTCCTTTAAGATTAAAATAATTAAAGCTGATGGTTAGAGTCCTCGCTCCATCCTGACTAATAAAGGCTAAACTGCATACAAACTAAATAGGTCCAGACAACGAAAGGCTTTTGCAAAACAGAGTTGTAGGTTAAAGTGCTGAGACGTTGGTAGGTCGTGAATGAGCATATCATCTAACTAGATCATTGATAGACAATGGATATTTTGCACAGCCAACATTTTTCTAAATGAAAAGACAAATTTCTACATGCAAGGATGAGCGGGCTCTCAAAGATGCAGAGACACTGCTTGCGCTTGACGCCACACACTTGAAGAGTATTCACAGGAAAGTTATAGTCAATGTCACCATAATGTTGTGTGTATTCATATCCAAGGGCGTGTTCGTATAAGGAGCTCAACAAGCTCTACATAAAATACGTGAGCAAAGGTTTTTGGTGGAATTGCTGGGAGATAAGCCCCTCACATGCCACCATACAAATTGGAGGTTGGCTTCTCTCTTTCTTCTCATTATAGCATTTCCTCATCAATTTTCTCTTGATAGCAGGAAGATAAGAGCCTCTTGGCTGTGGAGCTCCCATTTGAGGAAGAAAAGAGAAAGAATGCCATGGCATACTCTCAAAGCATCTCTCAAGCTCGTCAATCACAGTGCTTGGAAGCTGTCCCCTTCTTCTCGAATTTCTATTGCCAGCAGCAAGATCACCATAACCTCCTGTCTCATTCTGGTCTCTACTCGTGGTTCTTGCTAGAGCTGGAATCCATGTTGCACCGGATCAAAATGTGACTCATTGTGATCGTGAGCAATGCGCTCGTCATATGGTTGGATTCACGCTCCAAAGAAGGTTTGCGACCTGATGACGTGGCAAATAAGCTTCCACATGACGTTATCTTTGGTATACTGTCACAGATTGTTTACTATTTAAAACACTATAAAACGAAAACATACTAGAATATACCAGAAAATGCAAACAATGTTGTTTTTCATAGCACTAAACTACTATTGTTACCTTTTGTTTATAAACATATATAACACATTAAGATTCATTTTTCTTAAGAAAACCTAATTATCACTAATTATTTTAGCTTCTTGAGAATATTCTCAAGAAATGGTTGAAATTAAATCTTATAACGTAATCAATGGCTAACAAAGGTTTATAATGATGCATGGGGTGTTCTTCGTGGGGAGAGTGAACGGCTGGTGTGAGGAGGGTCCACTGTGGGGCAGATCCAAACCCAACAAGTCTCTTCGGGGTCTTCTGCCGGGAGTGGGTGTAAACATTTAAACGTTTTACTTTTTAACATTGTTTTTCTCACTATCCTATGGCAAGAAAACCTTGCTAACTTGATCTGTGACACCTTTAGAAAAGAACTCTTTACTGGACGATTCTAGCAAAAATTTGCAGACAGAACATCAAATCCTTGTGGTCGCCCACCAACAAGTTCTTCCTGACGGTCACGTAGTCCCAGTAGGCTCCAGCCTTCATACCTCCTGCTCAGGTACTTGGTCCCTTTGGTTTTATGCCTCCAGATGGGCGCTAACAGACCCAGAAAAACATGTCTAGTCAAGGGCGTGCACGCCGTAGGATGAGTCGGGCAGGGATGCATCCAGAACACGATCAACGCCCCCTTCCCAAGAGCTTGGAGAAATCATCAAATCTGGCTTGGTGATTTGATGATTTCTGGATCATCAGTGGCAGAAATGATCTGGTGATTTCTCAGATCAAGAAGTGACCAGCAGACTAAGAAGAGGTTACTTCTCATCATCATGCTCACTGTTGGGGGTAACTTTTGAGAAGCAAAATTCACAAGGAACTGAACCAAAAATGTGAAAAGGGATCACTTGGCTAATGTTTAATTGGGTCAGTAAACACACCTTTAAGACATCATCTTTTAAATTCTCAGAGCTGGGAACGCTGGCAATCCCGGTCTCTCATCGCACGATCTTCATTTTCAATTCTTTCTTCTTTTCATGGAGGTCTTATAATTTGCTACCGGAAAGGTGATTTACGTTAGCTACAACTCAACAAAGAAATGCTCACTTCACCATAACACATAGTTCAAGGATTAAGTCTTTACATGTATTTTTTATTTTTTATATTTTTGCATGGCATACAATTGCATTTCGTTGCTAGCTGTAAATGAATTGAAAATATTCTCTCTTTTTTTCTAATTTTAAACAATGATTTAAAATTAAAATGTTGTCATAGTTAACAAGTAAAAATAAACTTAAATACCCAGCATTAAGCTTTGAAATTTTTGAGAAATTCTTATTGCGTGAATTTCGTGCAACGGTGTAAAGGTCTTTGACATCAGAGCTGGGGTGGGACGGTGTGTAAAGGTTTTTGACATTCAGAGTTGGAGAGAGATAGATCATTTTAAGCTGTTGTGTAGAAGAAAGGAAGAGAGCTATGGCGCTACTCCACTGGATTAAGGCGTCTCTCCCGGGGCTTCCCATCGACAACAAGGATGATCCAAACTACAACGACTTTGCTGCCACCAGGCAGCCTTTGGAATCCATCCCAGCAATTCCTCACTTTGTACAAGGTGTTGCGTCCAAGGACATTGTGATTGATGAGATTTCAGGCCTCTCGGCACGGATTTTCCTCCCGGAATGCGAGCACGATTCGAAGCTGCCAGTGTTCGTCTACTTCCACGGTGGTGGATTCCTGGTTTTCACCCCAAAGTTTCACTTTTTCCACTATTTCTGTGAATCCATGTCGAGAAATCTCAAAGCCCTGGTGGTCTCTGTGGATTACAGGCTCGCTCCCGAGCACCGGCTGCCGGCAGCGTACCAAGACGCCGCTAGAACCCTGCAATGGCTCCAAGAACCACAGTGCTTGGGCGAGGATTGGATTCGCTCCCATGGCGATTTATCCCGTGTTTTCATCTCGGGCGATAGCGCTGGGGGAAACATCGCCCAACACTCGGCACTGGATTGGTTCTTCCGCCAGGAGCTCAAGAACGTCGAGGAAACGAAAAATCCCACGATCAAAGTCGTGGGAGTCGTCCTCGTCCAGCCTTTCTACGGCGGCATGGACCGCAAGGACTCGGAGGTGGAGTTTGCCAATGGCGAGATCCTCACCATGGAGAGCTCGGATCTCTGCTGGAAGCTCGCGCTCCCAATTGGGGCCGATCGCGATCATCCCTATTGCAACCAGCCCAAGTTCCTGGAGGAACATCGAGTTCCGGGAGAGATGGCGCCAATTTTCATGGCGATTGGGCGCAAGGATTGTTTGTACGTGAGGCAAGTAGAGGTCGCACGACGTCTACAGGGGGCAAACAAGCACGTCCAGGTCGTGGAATACGATGATGCCGGCCATGCGTTCTACTTGGGGCCTCCATCTCCGGCGTTGGATCGGTTCTTCGATGACTTATTTGGGTTTGTGACAATGTGTTGCAAGTGAATTTGTAACAGACTTTCTATATTTTAAATAAACAATCCATGGAACTTTCTCGATATTCAAATCTAGAAGATGTTTTCATGCACGATGTCCTTGGAATCGTATTATTATACGTATTGGATTAACTGTTTCAAATCTGAACTGAAGGGTGGCTGTCAAGATCGCGGTCGCATGGCGCGGTCTAAACAATTGATACATGTATTGAATTAAACCTTGCAGTAATTTTATTCTGCTAATTAAATTTGTGGCTTGGTTGAATTCTTTGAATAAACAATTTATAGAACTTTCTCGACATGGCTCTTTTTCCATGGTTTAAGCGGACGTTCTTTTCCTTGAAGGTCTTGGGGTTCCATCTTGTGGGATCTACAAGAACAAAATGCCCTTGATTTATTTGCTACCATATAGTTATCAGTTAAGCAGTGATTCCACATTGTATCAGCTACAAACTAGATAATCACGAAACGAGAGTGTCCCACGACGCATCTGGTTCATGATTTTTCATTCAGACTGCTTCCATAATACAAAATGCTAAGAGCTTTGCCTTTCACGACTTACTTGATATTATCATTCGTGCCTTCATGGGATTTTCATGCTGGCCGGGCCAGGATCTTGGCGTCGCAGGCAACGATTTTCACCCGATCCACATGCTGGACCTCGTTATCCGTCTTGAACGTCGCGTTCTCCAGCAAAAAGATCCAGATGTTGTCGCAAAACCTGTATGTGCGCAAGTGGCCCTGCCAAAGGAAAACAAGAGGACAAGGAAAACAAACATGAAAAACCAAAAAACATGAAGAATTCAAGTTCCCTCAAGCAATGCCAACGAAAGAAAGAAAAAAAAATCAGAGGCACAAGAAAAGCTTTCTCTTTGAAAAAATTATGGAAAAAAGAGGCTAATTTACAGACCTTGAAGGTTGTCTTAGCTCGCACTTTGCTCTGCAGTGCCTCACCCATCGACTGTAAGGATCCAAGGAGAAAAGAAAAGAAAAAAAACCATTTGAGTTAGTAACGGGAACCAAAAACGAAGAACACGAAACGCTCAATCAAACCAAAAGAAAAGTTACAACTAGCAGACAGAGAAAGCCAAAATTCCCAGTGAGAAACTCAATTCGATCAAGCAGCCAAGAAGAACACGAAACGCTCACTCGATCAAAGCAAAAGAAAAGTTACAACTAACGAAAAAAACAAGAGAAATCCCAATGGAAAACTGAGATCTCATCTCATTCCACAAAGAAAAAAAAAAGGAAGAGAAGCTTACTTTGTCGAACTGCATGAGCACACGCACGGCGAGAAGAGGAGGAATGCTGCCGTTCGTTACCATCTCGTCCAGAGCATCCGTGAGGCCTATGCCGATGGTGGATTTGCGATAGAGCTCCAAGCTGCCCATCTCCCTCGCTAGTCGCTAGCGCGCGCGCCTTTCTTCTCTCTCCCTCCCTCTCGCAGCTCCAGGCGCGATGGAGCGATGGCGGAGCTCAAACTCTCACGACAGAAAACCCTTTATATATCTCTCGACCTAGAGCTTATAACTGCGCATTGGGGCTTTATATACCCTAGGGTGCGCTATAAAGCCCCCTTTCTTCCCCGCTCGATCCATCGCAGTGCTCGATCCGAGGAGCTGAGGAGCGGCCGCTGCTGCTGCGCACGCGATCGCGGTGAGTTTTTCGATCGGATTATCGGATTGCGCTGGCTGTTTGCTCCTCGATTCTTCTTGCCCGACTGTTTTGTTAACTATGAATGAATGTAGTTAAGTTTAGGATGTTTCGTGTTGTGAACTTGTGGTTGATTTTTTTTTTTTTCCTTTCTTCGATGTGATTTTTTTTTTGGTTTTGCTCTCCAGGCTCCAACTTCGAAATGTTTAAGAAGTAAGTACGATGGACTTTTTTTCTACGCATGTTTTTTTTTTCTCTCTTTTTTTCTGTGGTCTTTCTTGCTTAATGTTTCCTGGAAATGGAAGTTAACTGTGTGTGTTTTTTGTGTGTATCAGGTTTAGCCAGGAAGAGGTAACCGCGCAGAATCAGGTGAAAGCCTCCGTTCAAAGAAAAATCCGGCAAAGCGTTGCTGAAGAGGTAAAAAGAAAAGTTCTTTCTCGAGTATTTCTTTCCGAAACTTCAAACTTTGTTTTGTTTGTGTAGTATCCAGAGTTGGAGCCCGTGCTTGATGATATCCTGCCGAAAAAATCTCCGGTCATCGTTGCTAAATGGTGAGCTAAGCTACTTAAATCGGACATTTCTAACCTTTTGCGGTTCAACATTTGCAGCCAGAACCATGTCAACCTGATACTCGTCAACAATGTGCCGCTCTTCTTCAACGTCCGAGACGGTCCTTACATGCCAACCTTGAGGCTCCTCCACCAATGCAAGTTCGTAGCCTGAGGAGAAAACGAGCTAACGGTTTTCGCTTTCGTGATCTCCAGACCCGACCGTGATGAAGAAGCTCCAAGTTGACAGAGGAGCCATCAAGTTCGTCCTCGCCGGAGCAAATATCATGTGTCCCGGACTGACTTCTCCTGGAGGTGGCTTGGACGAAAGTGTGGCAGCCGAGGCACCTGTGGTACGATTTCACGATTCTTTGACAGATAGCTTCTTCTCACACTCGTGTTCTCGTGATTTCTAGGCCATAATGGCGGAAGGCAAGCAGCACGCGCTCGCGATAGGCTTCACGAAAATGTCTGCTCTCGACATGTGAGCCACCGGTTTGCTTGGAAACAATCAAGCTAAGTGTTTAAACTCTCGCAGAAAGAATATCAACAAAGGGATTGGAGTGGACAATATGCACTATCTCAACGATGGACTCTGGAAGGTATGTAACACTACCAATGGATGCTAACGGAAAAAAAACTCTCTTTGCAGACTCAGCAACTCAATTGAGACGACCCCGCGAGAAACTTAGACGAAGAGACGAAGACGAGAGCTTTTCTTTCTAGAACACCGTAAGATGTTTCTCTTTCCGGATTGAAGCGTAGATGTTTGATAGAAGGACGTAAACTCCAGAGCCCTCGGGATCCAGTGCTAGTGCCTGTTTTGCAGCGCTAGCTCCTCGCTGGAAATCGCCTTGAGTTTTGCAAGCTCCCAATAAAGTCGTCCACACGGTGGTATTCGGTCGATACGGCATGCTCGAGACGAGCTCCTCGGCAAAGTTGAGCTGCTTGGATCGACCCAAGAGATCGACAATGCAGCAGTAGTGATCGATCGAGGGGCGCAGCTCCAAATCTCTGGTTATGAAAAAGAAGAGCTCGCGAGCTTCGTGCAAGAGCCCCGAGTGACTACACCCGGTGAGAATGGCCACGAGAGTTACCTCGTTTGGCTTCACTCCTTCCAGCAGCATCGCCCGTACAAGCTCCAGGGATTCGGGAATATACCCGGCCTGGGCGTACGCTCCAATGGTGGCGCTCCACGACACCACGTTCCGGGCGGGCATATTCTTGAAGAGGTGCCTTGCCACGTGTGCGTGGCCGGCCTGGGCGTGGGCCGTGATCATCGAGTTGACCGCCACGAGGCTGTGGTGGGGCATCTTTTCCAGCACTAGCATGGCCTCGTCCACGTGGAAATTCCCGGCCAATGCCTGGGCGAGAACGTTCCACGTCACAACGTCGCGCTGGTCCATGGAATCGAACACGTGGCGGGCGTCCATGGGCCGGCTGTTGCTCCCGTACGCCTGGATCATGGAGTTGTACGACGCGGTGTTGGACAGTGGCATGGCGTGGAAGATGCCGATCGCATTTTCCAAATGCCCTTGTGCGGCATTTGCTGAGAGGACAGTGTTCCAGGACACGGCATTCCACTGGGGCATATTCCTGAAGACTTGACCTGCAGATGCGGCACCTAAGGCGGTCATAGTTATGTTCCAAGAGGCGATGCTCTTGTACGGCATGGAATCAAAAGCGGCCTTTGCTTGTACGTCATGCCCCTCCCGGGAATATGCCGTGAGAATCACATTGCAGCAGACGGAGTTTCTGAAAGGAATCAGCCGAAATGCCATTTCCGCTCTGTCAAGATACCCATTCTCTGCGAAGGCCTGGATTAACACGGTCCACGAAACCACGTCCTTTTCGGGAATCTTTGCGAACACTCTCTCGCACATGTCAAGATTCCCACTCCCGGCATACGCTCCAATAACGGCTACCCACGTCCAGGAATCCCACTGTGGCATCCGATCGAATATCCGGCACGAGTAGCATAGTTTCTCCTCGCTTCCGTACGCTTCGATCAGGGCATTGGCGGAAACAACACTTCTAGCCGACGATAAGTCAAACAGCTCTTTGGCTTTATCCAGATGCCCCCCTTGGGCATTTGCTTGTACGATGATATTCCAGGCAACAACATTCCACGCCGGCATTTTCTGGAAAAATTGTGTAGTCGATTCCAGATTGCCTGTCTCCGCAAAAGCGGCGATCATAACCGTCCATGTAAAAACGTTTCTGACGGGTGTGTTCCGGAACAGAATCTCGCACTCGTGAAGAAGCCGGCACTCGGCATAGCTCTTGATTAGCGACGTATTATCATCCTCACCGCCACCTTTTCTCCGTACAAGGCTTTCCACCGCAATCGGGCCTTCGTTTGCCGGCTCCAGAAGCTGCCCATACGTACGGCGGGCCTCAATCAAGCATCCACTCTGTGCCATTGCGGCAATTATCGTGTTCCAGGACACATTATCCCAGTACGGCATCTTCCAAAACACAAACTTGGCTTCGCCAACCTCGTCGCAGGCGTCGAGCATCGCGTTCCACAAACGCACGGTCCGTGCCGGGACGGAATCAAATACAGACAAAGCTAACGCAAGATGCCCCCTTTCGGCATACGCGGTGAGCATGATCGTCCAGGACACGACATTATGCTGCGGCATCAGTTGCAAGATCAAGCAGGCTGTGGTGACGTCCCCGTGCGATGCAAATCCATTCAGCATAGTGTTCCAGCAGTAGTCGTTTCTTTGAGGCATGGCGCGGAAGAGATTCTTTGCATCCTGCAAATGCCCGGAAAGGGCATTTGCCTGAAGCATGCTTGTCCACGATACCACGTCCGGATTTTTAATCGCGTCAAATACAGTTCGTGCCTGGGAAACATCACCAGTTCTACCGTACAAGTTGATCATTGCGTTCATCGACGCTGTGTCTTTCTCAGGTATGAAACAGTACAGGTTTTCGGCCTCGGCAAAATGCCCTTCCTCGGCAAGTGCTAGGATCACAACGGTGGCCGCCACGGATCCCACCTGCGGCATGCGAGAGAAGAAGAATCGAGCATCGCCCAGATGCCCGTGATGGGCGAACGCCGCGACGATGATGTTCCAGGAGAAAACATTGCGGCACTCGGCGGCATGGAAGACCTGGAGCGATCGATCCAGGCGGCCACACTTGGAGTACATGTCGACGAGGAGATTAGAGAGGAAGACATTGCTGGCGTGGGAGGAGGCGAGGATCTGGGTGTGGACGAACTCGCCCTTGTGAGGATCGAGCGAGTCGCGGCACTGCTTGATCGCGCTCGCAAAGCGCGATACTTCTTGCTTAGATCTATTCAAGGTCACAAACATGAGCTATAAGAAAGTTCTCATTGTGATCTTAGATAAACTACCATCTCTCCAGGAAACCTTGCGAGAATGATCTTCATGGAATGTAGATCTTGTCCCCGGGATAGATCCTATCGGGATCGCTGGTAACGCTCATGTTGGCTTCGAAAACATCGTCCGGGGACAATCCATACTTGTTCGCGATAGAACTCATCGTATCACCTTCTTTCACCTGGAGAGGAAGAGCTCAAGCTCACGAAGAAAACGATGTATAGGATACGAACCTCGTGATACTTGGACTTTTGTTTCTGGTGGCTCGTCCAGGCGAAAACTGAGAGGAGGATCGTCGCGGCGGCGGTAGCAGCGACGACGAAGTATTTGCTTCGTCCCGTGTTCTTGGCTTGATCTTTCTTTTTGGAGCGATGATCGTCGTCCTGTGGCACGATCCCGTCTTGATCGTCATCTTCGCGCGACAAAGACGAGGTGGAGGACGAAAGCTCCGAGTTTGCATCGCCATTTAGGAGATGGTGGTGAGCGCTGGGAATGGAGGCACCGTTCTCTCGCTTGACGTTACTGATCTCTGAAAAAGAGGAGAAGAAAAATCTAGAAAAATCGTTTTTGGCTTTGCCATGGAGCAAACCTTTGAGAAACCGAAGAACTAGACATATTTGTCCAACATCTCTTCCGGAAGGATCTTTCAGTGTGACCCACTGAACCGCGGTCCCGATCGAGATTAGATCACGGATGGGAACGAGAGATTTTCCCACTGGATGGCTGGAGTGATCATCCAGAAGTGTCACCTATGAAGATCAAGGAGATAGAAACACGAATAAAAGGAGAAGAAGAGAACTTGTTACCGTGAGGCAAGAGTCCTCCGACGCCACATCCAGTCTAAACTCTGCCAGCCATTTGGAACTTAAGTTCTTGAGCGGCGCCGTTCTAGCCTAGAGAAAGAAATCCATCATCCAAAACTCTAGAGATGGATAAAAATAACCAGCATTTTACCTGTTCTTTGCCGATCTGTAGCAAAACAGAGGGCCGCGCATCGATCTTGACAGAGAGATTCCTTCCCTCCACCACGGATATATGAAGGTGCCCCAAGCACCGCATTTTCTTCGCGATGGAACGAGCCCTAAAACTGCCAGAGGCACTACAATGACATTAACGGTCCAGATCTCGCCACGGCGAAGGAGTCCAACGGTATGGTTTTAAAGTTGAGTATTTTGATATAACTTTGATATATTTTTCTAATAATACTAAAATAATATGTGGTCAAAACTTTTGTTTATCTATGTGGTATAGTAATTGATATATTTATTTTTTCAATTAATATAAGCATTATTAAGGTATTAATGAAAATGTATGACCTGTTTTAGCTCTTTTGGTGCCTGATGGGCATCTAAAATTAGTATAGAACATGACAAAAAATTATTATTATTTTGTTTAAGCTCTCTCAATGATGTTGTGAGGGCCAAGTAAGCACTCACAATGTATAATCTAAAATCCATTTTTCTATTTATAAAAGGGTACTATTGTATGTTTTTGGCAGAATTGCACTATAGCCAAGGTGCCATGCTTGACATAATGTTAGTAATGCTATGTCCTACAGCCATGACATTATATCATCACCACAACACAACCAAGACCAAATCCATATACTCCCCCTGATACCCCCTTTTATTGTTACCTAGCCTTGGGCAACACAAACCCAAGTTATCATTGAGGGCCTGCAAAGTAAATGCTAAAGCTACAGTAACACCAAAAGCATCAACACTCTCTTTTATAAGTTTGGTGTGCTAAGATATGGTTTAATACTAATCTTATTTTTAAGATGAACTTTGCTATTTGTTTGGTTAGCAAGAGCTGGAGTATTTTCTTTTTTAGTGATAGACATGTGGATCAATGTATTTCAATTTCTTTCTGATTTGTGCTCTATAGTTTAAGCAAAAATGTTGGTTTTAATGTTTTATAATTACCATTATAAATTATAATTATCTCAAACAGAGAAAATGGTTATTTGTATTTGTTGTCCACCATACTTTATTTGGTGCTTTTGCCTCATATGTAACTATATTACAATCATTTTGTATAGTTAAAAATGTAAAAATAAGACAATTTAAACAATATTTATTACTAGACCAAATTGCAATTTTTTTCTCAGTATATAAAACTAAATTTCCATCATTTTGAAGAATAATTGAACATTCACCAATATAATCTATTTTATTACTTGACTTCCATAATAAATACTTTCCAGAGTAAAGAGCAAGCTGACAATTAGATTCTAATATTAATAAATTTTTACGATTTGGGGATGTTATAAACTGGCCTTTGTAAAGATAATTATTTTTAAATCCAGCATTTAAAGTAGTTAAAGTAGTATCACAAATTTTGTAAGGAGAATAAGAGTTATTATATGTATTTATTTTATCAAAAGAAAACAAATAATATCGTTTTTGAATTAAAATATATTCAAGTTGATATACTCTAGATGTAATTCGGCATCTATCAGAAGAAGCACTAATTATATCATCTCTATATTTATTCATTAAATTACTTATTGCATGCCTCATAGAAGTACCAGTAACATTTTTACTAATTGAAGATTGTCCGGATGAACAATATGGAATTTCACCATCCATGCGTTGAAAAGTTACTAGAATATTACCTCTTTCACCAATATTAATAACTTGTATATCTTCATAATTTCTTGGATAATATGGAATTATTGAAGTAGAGATTCTATTATGTATTATTTGAATTCCCTCATCAATTATCATTCCAGTTTCATTACGAGTTAAAGTGTTATTATTTCCAAATTCTAGACTCACTTTCCTTTTTGCAGAAACAATTTTAAGAATGAAAAAATACCATATAAAGTGTTTTCTTTTGTATGACATTTTTTATACAAGAGACTTCAATTAGTTTATTTACTCTTTTTTTATTGTTTCTACCAGATTATGCTTTCCTTGTTATATATTAAAAAAATCTGTAAAAGAACAAATAAATATCTTTACAATATTTTTCCCCAGCTACTTTATAAAAGTTTAAAGTCATAATTGTTTTCCTTTTTAAAATATTAAAACCTTTTATTTTCTATTTTCTAGCTGATATAATGCTGGTTTCTATAGCTCACCTTTTTTAAACTTAATAGTTTATCAATAACTTTTTTTATTTTTCTTTCTATAATGGTTCTATGAATTCACTTAGTTTTTTTTTATCATTTGACTCTTTCCTACATCAATATACTTGGAGAAGTTAATTGATTGAGGCAAATGCTTCCTCCCACTGATATTGTAGGTCAAACACACGACTTCACTCCTTTATCTCTTTAGTCAAAAAAATATAGAAAAGAAAAACCTACAGCACAACACTGAAAAGAAAAAAGAGGATAGACAAGAAACAATGCTTTTAAGCTTGACTCCGACTTTTCAGCACGGAGTTCAGTCCGATTACGGAAGAGAATCGCTTTGCTGCTGCCTGTTCCTTCGAAACGAAAAAACACGGCTACTCGACCACGAACGTCTCATCCTGCAATCCTCTGGCGACGACGACGACGATGGCAGCGAGGGATTTTGATCATCCGGGGGAGCACCAGCTCTCGAGAACCTCGCAAAGATCGATCGAAACAAGGGGCTCCCTTCCTCGAGACTGGAGCTCTTCTTCCTTATCCCCGATGTTACTACTCCTCCTGCGCGATCAGATCCTATAGTGGCATGATCTTCTAGAGGTGGAGAGGATCCATCTTCGACCACTTGGGCGGCTGCTGGATCGATCGAGACAACGATCGCGGCCGGATCCTCAACCTGGGCTCGACACAGGGGGCAAACGTTGGAGTGGATCGAGAGCCAAGTATCGATGCACTCGACGTGGAAGCCATGGCCACACTTTGGAAGTATCTTGACGTCCTCGCCCTCTTGGAAATCGCCCAAGCAAACCGCGCAGTCGGACGATACTCTCTTGCTCTTGGAGCTCTTGTAGACCGGGAGTCTCTGGATGAGCGATTTCGAGAGAGCGGGGGTCTGGATCAAGAGGGTCGGCTGCTGCTGCTGCTGCTCTTCGGGATCGCGATCTTGTTGATGGTCTTGCGGAGGAGAATTCGACGTTTCTGGGATTTGGGGAGAGTCGCCAGTGATCCAGGATTTGTAGCAAGAGGCGAGGAGTCTGTAGTAGCTTACCAGCAAGAAGAGAATGACGAGGAGAGTGACTAGAGCAACCACAACCGGCGTGATGCTCACTGCTGCTGTTGCCATAGCGTTGTTGTTGTTGGAAATGCGGTGACCATCTTTGTGATCTTCGTCTAGAACTCGAGCGTGATCCATGGAGGAATGGACTCTTCCCCAAATCGGGGTTTCCACTCTTGGAACTTTTCTTCCACTCGGAGTAAAACTTTACCTTCGTATCGTCATCTAATAGAAAAAGTTAACGGGATTTTAGGGTTCTTGGCTAGGGTTTTGGAGTGTCGCCGCCGCCAGTGCTGCCGCCATGGTATGTATTCTCTGTTTCGCTTTCTCAGCGTGGCGTTGATCGATTCTCCCGCAGCCGTCGCACAAGACGTTCCGGATCAAGCAGAAGCTGGGGAAGAAGCTCCGCCAGAATCGCCCAATTCCTCACTGGATAAGAATGCGGACGAACAACACCATCCGGTAAAGCGCTTTAGATTTCTCATCTCCAAGAGAAAATTTCTCACTTTCTTTCGTTTCTCCTTCCGAATTTGCAGCTACAATGCGAAGAGGAGGCACTGGCGAAGGACCAAATTGGGTCTTTGAATTCCAGATCCAGTTCGATCGATCGATGGTAGTTCTTTCGAGATCAAATCTCTGTTAAGTCGAATCTTGGTAGGAGTTTTTGTTGATCCTTGAGGAACGTCAGACCAAACAAAGAAATTTTAGTTTTCTAGTCCATAAGCGATGAGACTGGTTCGTGCATCTCGATGTGCTTCTATAAAGTTTAGATCAAAGCTCCAAGATCAAAGCTGCAGAGCTTAGCAGATTTCCATCACAGTGAGATGGTGAAGACAACCGAGTTTGTGACGTTGAGGTGGGGGCTGGCATGGAGTTTCTCCAGTGCTGGAGCAGTGAAGAGTGGATCTGGCGCAAGTTCTTCGGGGCTGGGACGAGCAGCAGCGGGAGTTTTTTGGAGGGAAAATGCAGTGCATTTGAGGTGCTGGAAGATCTTGGGAGTCACTTGGAAGCTCGATGCGGCCTCTTTTGCGATCCTTGGATCAACGAAATTCTGATGGCAACAAAAATATGGATAAGTGCAGCTCTTTGGAGCTTGGCATTGAGGGTATAAATATAACATTTTTGTAAAGATAATTTGCTGTTGATAAAAGTAGTAAACTTAATAATATTTTAAAGAGTTTAAATTGAATATTTTCTTTTCTAATTTGCTAAAAACTAAACATAAACTTGTTTACATTTTAAAAAAATATCACCATCAAGAAAAAATAATTTCACTTTGTAAAGTTTGTAAATACATATATATATACATATACATACATATATATGTGTATATATATATACAT